TCACTCAGAGCAGGTCTACACTGTGGTGTTGGTGTTTCCAACCACCCAGCAACTCCTGCACCAATACTGTAGACCCAGAAAAACAAGAGAGAGGCCATTCAAGGGTGTCCCTTGGTGACTGTTTGCATACGTACTAGAAGAATCTTGAGAATGTCTTGAGAATGGCTGCAGAGAGATGTCCCAAAGTCTTTCCAGGTTTGGAGAGTATGTGTGTAAGAGCTGGTGAACCAGCAAGTGTTCAGGAATGACGCACTTGGGATGTCCTGCTGCCACAGGCAGCTTATGGACATCATTAACAGAAAAACAGCCCTTCCAGAAAGAATGCTCAATCAAAATTCCTCCTCTTTTGGCACAGCACCACAGCGATAAGCAGCAGTAGCAGCAGCAGCAGCAGCTGCAGCCCCATAAATTCTAGAGGAGTTCTTATATTTGGAACAGGAAATTGCTACAAGGACACCTAATTCAATGGAATATTGAATACAGTGGCTACGTGGGAGGGTTGACAGCATTCTAGCCCTCAAGATTTCCAAAAGATTTTAAAGAGAAAAATTCAATGACAACAAATGGCAATAAGTTTTTTGGACTAAAAATTATGTGAGCTAATCATTTTGAACTCTTACATTGTTCGCATCATTTTAAACCTCCTGAAGTCCCTTCCAGTCCTATTTTTCTATGATTCTGTGTTGAGAAATATTATCCATTTTATTCATCCCTGTCTTTGACAGTTTGACTTAATCAGGTAGAGTGGTTTCAATGGTTGTCTTCTCAGGATTCATTCTGCATGATGCACTCATTGTTCATTTCTGCTATTTCTGATATAGTCTTCTTACAGTGTTTGATTATTTGTTGCTATTTTGAGGGGGCAATGCTTTGTTCTTTCCTAGCCTTCTCATTCAGGTAGCTATTTTTTCCAGTCTGATGGTCTTGGTACTGAGAATACTTTTGTCACAGGCTGTTTATAGGAGTGAGTGGATGTGACAGGTGTGCCTCTTCGGGGTCCGTCCACTATTGACCCTGCAACACCGGTTATGGGCCAGCCGCCCACCTTCTCTCCTGCCACACCTTGTTGTTACTTGCTTAATTAGGGGATATTAATCAAGCAGGAGCCTGCCCATTTTCTGTCTCAATGCCTGGGGCACTATCTGTGGCTCCTTTCCTCCCCTTACACCGCAGCCCAAGCCTCGCGGATGTACCTGACATTGTTCAGGTCTGTTCCACTCTTGCAACCTGCACCCCACCAACACTCAACTCGCCTTACAGCCTGTGCCTCACCGGTGCTCTGGCTCGTCTCTTGTAACCTGCACCACACAGGCATTCTGGCTTGTCTCTCGCAACTGTACCCCTCTGGCACTCGTCAATCGCTGCCCCCTCTCCGGCACTTCCCACGCTGCCCCCTCTCCGGCACTTCCCATGCTGCCCTGGGGCTCAGGTGGCTGTAGCTGTACCTGGCCTCAAATCTCTTCCTTGGGGTCTTGAACCTCCTTCCAGGCTCAGGCGGCCTCAGCCTTACCTGCCTTCCAATTCTTCGCTCCCCTTTTTGGGACTGGGGTCAGTGTACCCCCAAAATGCTGCACCCTCTCTGGCGCTGGGGTCCCCACACTACTGTGGAGCCCCTGTGAGGCCTCCTCCAACCCGTAATAGCCTCACCCGGTCCTCCGGTTAAAACAACAAACACAAAAACACAAAGCCCCTGGGCTGTAATGTGAAGCTAACCCGTCTGGCCAAACAGCACTCAATCCTTACCAGGAAATACTCCAATCCCAGCAGCGGCCCAGGGATGCTCACGCAGTCAGGGTTGTCCCCTCTATCTGCACTGGCCGAGCTCCTCCTTCCTTGGTCGCCAGAGGGGAACTGCCCTCCTGGCCTCTTGCCTGGGCTTATATGGGCCAGGCCCTGCCCCTTCCTGTCAGCTGGCTCCCCAGCAGTTATCCTGGCAACCAGCACCTGTTACTCTGGCTGCCCTGGCAACTGGCAGCTGGGCTTCCCCCATCTTGCCACTAGGGGTGTCTCCCAAGCTGTTTTCTGCTGTCAGGCGCAGGGCACCTGTGTGCGCCCTGCGCCTGACAGCTGTGGAATACACAAGTTCATTATGGAATCTTTATGTCCATGAAGAACACACCAGAGCCTTGTTTTGAAATGCCTCAAAGGAAAGACCTCAGGCACCCCAGGAGTAAAAACTGAACAGTATTCAGCTTCTCTATATCTTTTTTTATGATTGAAGCAGAGGATTGTGTAAGAACTGATGTGTCTGTCAGAATTATTGTACAGATGTTAAATTTCTTTGAAATCTTGCAAGTTGCATAAAGAGGGAGATGGGTGATTCTACACCCCACTGAATGGCCCAGTATTGTTTGGGGGGTTCCATCTCAGCCTATCTAACTTCACTAACATAGAACATAATTACACTTATTTTATTACAGTGGAATGGGCATCATCTTCTATTAACATTTTTATGCAGAATTCAGGAAAGGATGGCACCTTAGAGACAAACTGTTTCAGAGAAGCATAAGCTTTTGTAGGCAACCATCTATTTTGTCAGATGATATGTATGGATTCTGGACTAACTGGTGCCTTTTTGTTCTTCAAAATTTCCTATTTAGAAGCTGAAATTCTCAGGGAAAAAATAAATCAGATATTGTCTTTTTTTCAGTTTTACATTCTTGAGAGGCACCAACAAATATAGTGGAAGGGTCACGTGGCACAAAATCTCTCACATACAGCTTACTACACATTCTGGAGAAACATCTTTTTGGATAAGAAGTATAAAACCATAAAAAAAATTCATAACATATGGATTAAAAGGATCAGAAACTTACAGGGATTTGAGTTTTTTTAGGTAATCAAACTGGTCTACTTGTATTTTCTGGATGGGATTATAGGACAAATTCCTGTAAAGACAAATGTAAGGACATATTAATTCCATGCATCTTCCTTAAAACTTGTCCTAATGAGAATCTTTATTTTTAAATCCTATCCTTTTGACTCAAAAAAATGGCAGTTACAATTGAAAAAACAGTCTGGCATCTTAGGCCCCTAATACACTTTACATTCAAGACACAACTAACAGGTAAAGGTCAATTTAAGACATGATAATAGAGTTAACGAGCCACAAAAGTATTCTACATATTAATGTGTAATAACTTGGTGGCTCATTTGTATCACACCTTAAATTGAACCCTAGAGCTGGCCCAAGACCGATACCAACATTCAGCTGAGTGTTAGAATCTGTCACGGGGCAGCCTCAGGGCTGGGGATAGAGCTGTCCAGGCAGCCCAATCCTAGGGTCCCCATGCACTGGGACCTTTAAAACCCCTGTCCTGCCCAGCTAAGTGGCACATAGAGTTTTAACTTAGCCCTGGCTCATGGTGACCCCAAGATCAGGCTGAACTGGGGCTGAGATAAAATGCTGTGAGTCACACAGCTGGGTGGCACATGGGGAAATGGGGATTTATCAGTTCTGGTGTGCGGGGACCCTGGAATTGAGCTGCAGCAGGCCAATTCTGGGATCTCTGTGAGTTGAGTTACAACCCCAGCTGGGGTGTTGGAAATCAGCTTATTGTTGTCTGGGGCCTGACTGGGGCCAGTTTCAGATCCTGGTTTGGTACCTGGCCCCACCTAACAGTCGGCTGATTGTCAGCGTTTGGGTTTTAACCTGCTACTGAGGGGGCAGCTGAAATCGCACGTGGCAGGAGGCGCAGTTTTTGGGATCGTGTCTTAGATCCCATGGTGCCTTAAACCAAACATCAGTCAGAGGCGTTAGTAAAGAGGAGAACAGTTTGTGGCTTCATGGACAAGGTGTTGGTACACAATTTTTAATTTTTTTTTTTTAAATTTCATAACTATTTTGGTTGCAAAACTTTTTCCACTCCTTATATTCAAAATACCTCAAAGAATGCCATATATTTAAAAATAAGTGGCAGCTTCTTTTCCTAATCATTAAAATCAATTTTTTCAGATGCATTGATGTGGTATGATAAACACAAAAGGGCAGTGAAATTAAAAAAAAGAAAAAGAAACAAACGTCTGGTACAGCTACTTAGTGTAGGCATGTGTTTGCACATGTGCACACATGTGCTGAAGGCGACAGGTTTCCTTTTCCTTCCTCCACACTTGCGCATTTCACAGGTGCCAGTCACAAGGTAGTGGTACAATATGTACAAGAAGCCAAAGAAACTGGGTGTGGAAAGCTTTAGTCCTGCCTGCAGTCATTCTGAGAAAACCATCAAAAGTGCCGCAAAGTTGTGAGGCATTCAGAAAACAGCGGTCTTGCCTGTTTAAAAATATTTATGTAGATTTATGTTGCAAAATAATAGAGTGATAGTGACACACGCTTAAACTGGATTAAATCATTCATCACAGCAAACGTTGAGTGTCAGTCCTCAGGAAGGTGGCAGAGGATGCACGAGTAAGGGTTTTCCCAGGGTTCTGTGATGCTGCAATCTTTTTTCTACCCGTATGAACTAAGGTAATAAACTGGATCTAAGGTAAGACTGAACACATAGGCTAGGGACAGGCATTCAAAAAGCCTGATCCTGAATTGATTCAATCTTTGCAGGTTAGTCTAGGCTAAATCAGTTTTTAACCCAGACAGACATCCCAGAAGTGCAGGAACATGCCTGCCATGGCTCAGGATAGAAACTGGGTGGTTGGGTGGGGGGGAGTGCTAGAGCTAGCCTCCCTTTGCTTCCACAGGGCAGAGCTGAGGGGGGCATGGCCAGGCCCCAGCAGAACGCTCTGGCTATTATCATCCTTAACTTGGTATTTACCAACCCATTAAGAAAACAAAGTCTCTCTCCATTAATTAATGGAGCTCTTCTTAAACAGCTCTTCCAAGAAAGGACATTAAGCTACTGTTGATTAGCTTCAAAAAGCCTGTCTGCCTCTGGCCTGTCCCACAGCACGGATCATAGCCAGTGTGTGGTCTGCTAGATAATGCTGAAGTGTCTGCATAAAACAGAGGGGAAGAGGGAATAATTCCTGCTTAGCAGGGAGAAGCCAAGCAGACCCTGCTGTGCCTGCAAGTCTGTGCCGAGCTCCAGCCAGGAAGCAGAGGGGAGGGGCCAGCCCTGCAGCAGACTGGAGAGCCCTGCCCAGCCCAGGGAGCATGCCAGGATGCTGGGGGTGTCTGGTTTATCTTAACCTAGCAAGGGGTCTGGGACAGACATTGCATAAACCAGTTTGAGTCAAATTAGTTAAGTGTGATACTACATTCAACCAGGCTTATCTCAAACCAGTTTCAGCCATTTTCAAACTAGTTTATGTGCACTGAGCATCTGTTCTGTTACAGATTTAAACCCGTTACCGATCACTTAAACCAGTTTATGTGTAATGTCTGTCCCTAGCCATATAGACTCATCCTCTGGAGAGGTCCTTACATTCTGCGACTCTAATCCCCATCAGAGAGGGGCAAACATACCTAGGCTACTATGATGCCTAAGCAGTCCCCACACCTTGGAAGCACAGAGTAGGTAGAAGTACACAGGTGGGCATAGACTATAGCTGCAGACAGAAGTGCAACTCCCTGCTGTAACTGAGAAGACTTTGCAGGAAGTGCTTGGAGTTACAACAATCCCTGGACCAAACAGAAGTTCACCATTGATTCCAGTGGGGAGGGGAATCTAGCTGATACCTAAAGCCTGCAGCCAGTTTCCCCTAGCAATGGCCTCTCCTCTCTCCCAGCTGGGTTCCTGTTTTCAAAATGGGAGGGGTGAAGGGAGCAGAGGAAGCTCATTCTAGGGGTTCCCCAGCTGGTGCTCCCCACAGGGAGTTCCAATACACCTCAGGGGGGCTCCAATGCACCCACCCAACCCTCCAGTAGGGGCTGAAAAACCCTCAGATCAAACTCCCTCTACTCCCTTTCTCCCTTCCCATTCTGAAAAAAGCTCAAGGCTGGCAGGTAGTGCAGACCCAGGTTACATAAGACACTTTGTTTTGAAAGGTCTTCATCTGACCCTTCATGCAGTGAGGGTTCAGATTTTCACTTAATCAGCCATTTTTGAAGCAGCTGTTCACTTGTGTTTGGTCATGGCTATAGACCACTTTTTGTGGCCAGAACAGGTAAAAATTGTCACTTCTGTCTGCACCCATGGCTTTTATTTAGCCTTAATCTATCCCTGTTTAACATCTTTTAAATTCCTCCATTTTGCATACAAACAGAAGTTACATTTCTCCCAGGAGAAAGCATTTTGTCCCAGGATCCTACATAGTCCATTATTCCACTGGAAATACCTGTGAAGGATGAGAAATTAAATGTGCTAACCCTTTTTCCCTGGAACAATACTGAGTAGGATTCTAAGTTAATCATTTGGGTCAGTTAATTGGGAGTCAAGATAACTGGCCTTGAGCTAGGTGCCTTGAGCTAGGTGCATGTATGAGTGAATCCAGGAGTTTGTCAAGTGGGGTGAGGAAGCAGTGACTAATGCTGCAGGGATGGCTACATCCCTGCTCCCAGCTTTCCCATCCTGCCGCACATTAGGATGGGCAGAACACATCATAGGAGTGACAGCTAGGGTCTTTTTTAAAGTTCCCAAATCAGGTAAGAATCTATCCTGCCCCACCTCACTCTCAGCACCTGTTCCCTTATCCTCCATGCTCAGTGGCATATCCCCTCCCTTCTTCTTCCCACCACTGTTGCTATCTCCTCCTGCCTCAGGGACAGAGGGAGCTCCAGGGCTGCTGATTCATCTGGTCTGCATAGGAAGCTGGGATCAACTGAGAATGGTGGCAGTGACAGTGTATGGGTTCCCCCTACCCCAGGCTGGCAGGGAACATCTGGGGGACCAGACAGGGAAAAGGAATACATCCACCAGTGCTGCCACTATCTGTGGCTGAACCCAACTCCTTACTAAGGAGTGGCTCTGTAGGTCCCCCACCTCTGGGTGGTGGGAGAGGGATAGGAGAGGATGGAACATGCTGCTGGATGCTACAGAATTCATTCCTGATATGGGGACTTAAAAAGGTCCCTGGCTGCTGCTCTAGTGCTGTGGACTGAAGGGAGTGGGGGCAGAAGGTCATCACACCCCTGCATCTCTTCTGGATTCACCCTGGATGCATGAGGAGTTGAGAATACAGAGCAGCCAACACAATGACATGGAGCTATCTATAGTAACCAACAGGCAATGCTAAGGAACAATGATATGTTATGTATCCTGACCCTGTCTAGAGCTTAGACACCTGCTCTGCCAGTAACCTCTCCCTCTACTTGGGGTTCCTAGTCTAGAACCTGATATCCAGAAAGTTAGGTGCCCGGGGAATTTTAATGCTGGAAACATGAAGTTTAGACAACCCCATGGTTAAGCAGTAGCTGAACAGAAATTCTGAGGATTGCAATTTTGGATTTAGGTAGGATTTACAATCTTAAATCCTTTATGGATCTAGTCCTTTGCGTGTTTCATGAGGATGAAGGTGGACTTCTACATTTAAAGCAGAATAACACTGAAAACAGAATGCTAGTAGTCCAAACCACAGAAACTAACAGATGGTAGTAGATTAAGTGTTTTAATATGTGTAATATTAAGTGCTTGAGAATATGTGTAATATTCTTAGAGACAAATCTTGCTTACCCTATGCAAAGCTTTAACTGAAATCAATAGGTACTATCTAGGTTAGGAATAATTTGAAATAACTAACCTTTTTAATATTCAAGGTAGTATGCATCCTTGCTGAAATTGTCTTGCATGTAATATTTCTAAAAAGCACATTTCAGGCTAAATTTGGGGGTTTTACATTGAACTCAGATAGGAAGATGATGCTCTTGGATTTGCTTCCTGGATTGGATGACTGATGTCATCATTTTGAATTAATATTGTATAACTGCACACAGTATAATAAAGAGTTATTACAAAACCTTACAGTTGTGAGAGCTCCTTCAGATCCTTAAATAGATATGGAGGAAGTGATTCAATCTTGTTGTTAGCCAGGTCTCTGTGGAAACAAGCCCAGATACAATATCATTAGTTGTTAGTAGATTTTTTAAATTATACAGAGAAGCATTTTAATATTAAGGGCTTTCACAATTTGACTCTTTTTGCCAAAGAAAATGATATGTTATTACATAGATTATCAGAAAGGATGATGCTAAAATGTAAGATGAAAGAACTTAAAGCCCACTGTGTCTCAGTATTTGAGACATATAATTACATACAAGGCTTCTCAGGGTTTTTTCTTTTCCTTTTAATTTATCTTCTCATTTTATATTGCTTTTCTTTCTCTTTTCAGTTTTACACTTCTTTCCCAATCAGATTAGTAATGATGTTGGAGAGACATATTAAAGGACATTTCTTGCTTAACTTGACCAAATAAGCTAATATACAAAAAGGGTAACGGATTGTAAAAAAACACATTAATTATATTTCTGTTACATGTTTAGTGTGTTTTGATTTTATTTCTCTATTTCCAGTGCTTCATTGGGTTGGATTAAAACTCCTATCCTACTTCATAGATTTCATAGACATTAGGGCTGGCAGGGACCTCAGAAGATCTTTGAGTCCAGGCCCCTGCCCCAGGGGCCGGAAGTCAGCAGGGCTTATAGGATCCCAGCAAGATAAACATCCAAATGTCTCTTGAAGGCATTCAAAGTAGGTGTTGAACCACCTCCGGCGGCAGTCTATTCCAAACCTTGGGGGCTCAGACAGTAAAGAAGTTCCTTCCTTATGTCCAACCTGAAATGGTCATGGAGGAGTTTGTGACCGTTTGATCTTGTCATCCCTTGGGGCGCTCTGGTGAACTTATAAGTGAGGCAGGGTTTTAAAAACTATAACTGTGGATGTATTAGATAGCAAACAACAACCTACCCCCACAAAAACCCCAAACCCCAGTAATAGATGTAGTATTTATTAATAATGCAGGTTTTCTACTAAAGTATGAAGAATCACCCTACCTTTAGCTATGGAAAAATATGCCATAATTTAAAAAATATAGGAAAAGTACCAGCACCTTCTTCAAACGATGAAATTAACCAGTCAACCACAGAGAGATAAATAGATATTTTTGCACCCTGTATGGGAAGAACTGGAGAACAGCGTTGGGTAGGAGAAAGAGGGGGAGAAGCAGCTCAGCACTTATCTATTATCTTACACAGGGGCTTTTGCAATTGCTGTGTCGGGGTGGGCTGCTGTTGCCCTGGGATGAACTTCCTGAATAAAGGCTGCTGTGGTGGCACAGGTTCCCCATTCTGGCAAGCTTTCTAAATTGGCACCCAGGGCTTTGGCATCCGCACTTTGTTATGCTGTTGATCAGCAGTATCAAATAAAACACCTGATTTCAATGGAGATGTATTCACTTTCATTGGTGGAGAATCTTTCCCTGATTTTTATCTATCCACCAAAAAATCATCATCTGTGAGTGTGACTGTGCAATACCTGTGCTATAGGCAAACTCTTTCTTGATTAAGAAGCATCAAGAACGGATGCTGCTAGATATATTAAAAGTTCTCTCACTATAATCTTCTCATTAACGTTAACCCAATCAAATATTAAATAATGTGTAGTAGTCAGCCAGATTGTTTTCAGCAAGTGAGAAGTCCAAGTCTGTGATAACCCTGAGAGCATTTTTAAAAACCATTTCTTATATAGAGCTACTACTTCTTTCTAGTGAACCCATCTATTACATGTTTTCATACAGGGAACTCAATGGTTTTGTAGATGAAGAAACACCCTTCATGGATTCTGCTCTATTATGTATTTTAATTATTCTATTCACCATATTTACTCAAATATAAGACAACCCAGAATATATGACCCCTCAATAGGCAGATTCTATATATGGAAAATTCCTAAATTTGTTATAGGTATAAAATCTAAATATTGGAGGTTTGCCTTAAATTTGTCTCCTCCTCACTGCTCCAGCAGGGAAAATAAACCTGGGGATTTGAGTAGCCCCTTTGCCATCTGCCCCTTCCCAACTTCCCCCTGCAGATCCTTCCTTACTGTCAGTCCCTGCTTTCTCTTGACCACATGGAAATAAGGGCAAATTTGAAAACACTGACCTTGAAATAAACACAAACATAGTTCATTCAGAATTGATGCATTTATCTTTTTAGAAAGTGCTGCAAGTTTTAGAACAGGTACTCCATAAACACACTTGTAAGTAGTACTTTTCTACTTATTTATATGTAGTAAAACTATGCATGATATTAGTCCAAAGCCAAAAGGCTCATATAGTTCATTGGGCTGGGCCCTCATCAGTGTCAACAGCATTTCAAGCCATGGTGACCTCACAGCTCAGCATTGTTCAGTATGTGTGTGTACATCAGATATCCCACCCCCCACCCCCGCTGGCCTGCCCCAAAGGATCCATTTGCTAATTAGCCCCCAAATCATGAGTGGAACTGGATGTTCTTGTCACCAGTCCTGGGATCCTCCAAAAATGTATATGCAGTGAGGCACAGAGCAACCTGGTCCAGCTCCATCTAATGGAGGTGGGCCACATCAGGCTGAGAGAGAGGGTGGCAGAAGGATTTTGAGTGACCTGTTTGGGGCTCTATTTAGTGATGCCTGCCAGACATGTAAGGCTGGTGGAGAAACAGGAATCATTGGAATTGGGAAAGAAAGGCACAGCTCAGCTGTGGAATTACAGGGGGAAATAAAAATATATTTAATGTAGTGGCTCACCACGACTTGAAAAAAGAGTCAGCACTGAAGGGGACTGGGTGCACTGGGCACTCTCATATATCTTATTTACATGGGCTGCACTAATCTGTCCTTGTGGTAGGTTCCCATCATTGTGTTTGTCTAATATGGGCCATATGGTTTAAAGTCATGCCCAGTATTGGCTGCACTTAATTAGCTTCCTAGTTGGTTTCCATTATTGAGCACATGCTGCTTTTGGCAGCTAACAATGTATTTAATGAGGTTTTCTTGCATGCAAATTCATGCTGGCTGGAGGAAAAAAAATCCCTTGTCTTGTATTTGAGTAAATACAATGAATGACAGCGAGCCTGGGAAGTTTCTCTAAAAACCGTTATGTAAAAGTTAAAAAATAAACTTACAGTTCATCTAAATTCTGGAGAGAGGAAAAGCTATTTTCATTTAAAGAGCTGATTTTATTTCTTCTCATCACCCTGAAAGGATAAAAACAAATATATGTTTCAACTTTCTGAAAGGTGTCTGTTTTCTGGGAAGCCTAACGTTGTAAAATAATTCCTTTTTTTCTATATAAGGTTGCATATTCTTTTATCTGTATCTTATCCAGTTTAATTGTTCACTGAATTAGCAATGTCCCCAATTATTTAAACTGATATTCTATAAATATTATATTTCTACCTGTATATGTACATGTATATGCATGTTATATGTCTATGTATATGTATATATGCACATCTGTAATATATATGTGCACTGTGTGTGTGCATGTGCACTACATGCATAAATACACTTTCAGTTGTATTTTCATCTACTGACAATTAGAGCGACTCTGAAATGTTAAGTATTTTGAGATTATGTATGCCTTAGGGGAGTTTGAAGGTATTAACTACTACTTATTTGAGAATTCTGGATATTTTGGGAAGGATGAATGAACCTCTCTAGTTTTATGCAAAATGTATGAAAGTACAAATCCAAAGTGCATATTCTTGAGAACTGCAATCAGCAGGGCTTGATTCTATATTCTGTATTCATCCAAAATATTCCACTGAGTGGAGATTAAATCACTAGGGTAGATGCACGTAGGAAAGAGAGAGCCGAGTGAGAAAATTACATAGATGAGAAAGTAACACTTGCTAGAGGGCAGCTGAGAGACTTGGGAACAGCATGAGAGGGGAGGGGAGGAGAGTTCAGAATAAGATTTCAATATTTCTAAGGAAGTTTTTGGGTTAATCTAAAATGTCTAATTGCCAGCAATCTGCTTAAATGAAGATACTATTCATGAATTTTGTCATGTATGTGGTCAAATTTTTCACATTTTTACATGGTTTATAAATCTCAATATGTGATGCGACTGCTCAAATCCACTTCAGTGAAGTTATGCTGCATATACTAGGGTTAATTTTGCTATAAAATTGGTTCTACTTTTTTGTGCTCAGTTAAAATGTAGCATTTTAATAATCTCCATTATTTCCAAGCAATAATCAATATTTTGGAAAGTTTTGATGTCAGAAACCATTCTACATAATTTAATGATTGTTCATTACAGAGTTCATTCTGGCTGCCCAGCATGTACTATTACTTACAGTACAGTTAAAGTGCTGCAGGAGATGAAGGTGATGTTTCTAAGGTTACGTATATGGTTCCCTTCAAAGTCTCTGGGAGATAAAAAACACACACACACACAAAAAACCCCCTTTCAATTACTGACAAAATTTAATTTAAATCAGAAACTTACTCTGAATTCCCTGTTAAAAGGGAGACCTCAGTAGAACCTTAACACAGAACAAAGGACAATAGTAGTCTTACAAAAGGCAAGGTAGGGTAGCACCTTAGAGATTAACTGGTTCAGAGAAGCATGTGATTTTGTAGGCTCTCACTCCCTGAGAACAATGAAACATGAACTCCTTCAGGTCAACTCCTTTAGCATAAACTGGAATCCTGAGTTTAGGTTTTTGCAAGTTGGGAAAGGATAACAGGAATTTGTATGCTTGGTTTCAGGAACTAAGGGCTGATTTATGACTGCTCCCAAGTGTGTGCTTGAGATGAAAGAACTCAGAGTTCCCAGTCTCTTGTGCCTCTGCCAAACCATAATGGCCACATCCAGATGATTGAGTATGTGCCTGTTGCAGTGTCTCAAAGTAGTTTGAGATCCCGGAAGAGGCATGCTAGGAATGAAAAAAATTTCCACACTGCATATTTGCACTGTGGACTCTAATTTTGATATGGTTTGACAGTTCAAAGTGGGCCACCACAACAAGCACATCTTCTGGGTGACAGCTGCCCAGATGGCAAAGTGGGAGCACCAGAAGACATGACAGCAGTGCCATCCAAAGTCTAACTGTGCAGCCATGGCACAGTGGCAGCTGACCCAGAGGTGCAGGTGGCTCTGCTTCAGTGCCCATACCACAGCCCAGGCAGCCGTGTGGTCCCCATCCAGGTCTGACAGGTGTGCAGACATGGGGCCACCAGTCCAAGGGGTTGGATGCAGTTGCAGGTGGCAGCAGGTCACAGACAGCAGCAGCTCCCACTGCCAGACTGCTGCAGTGGGTAAAGGGGACACTCCAGGTTAGAGCTATTTAAGTAGTCCAGCTGGCACACATGGCTAGTGTCCCCAGATACCAACTGCCCAGGCCTCAAGCTCCTGAGGGTAAGTAGCCCTGAGCTGCTTGCCGGGGCAGCTTTTATACTGCTGGGGCCAGCACCTGTGCTGGCCTCATCCTCTAGCTCCCCCTGGCTGAAGATCTGGGAGGAGCTGGATAGGATCAGTTTGCCCCAGGTGGCACAATTTGCCACACACCAAAGTGAATGTTCAGGCACACGTGCTGTGGCACAAACCTCTGGCACAGATTTATGCTGCTGCTATATGAGCTGCTGCACGTGCATGTGCTTGCATGTGTGGGTGCATCCAACATATCTTTCATTGCAACAGTGGCAATGGTTTTATTTGTTGCATGGTAGCTGCAGCATAAATGATACTTTTCATAAAGATGAATCAAGGTTTGCTACTGAATATGCTTGGTGGTTATATGGGGCTGATTTAGGAAAGCTTTTAAACGTAGGCTTAACCGGAGGCCAGGGACAGAAATTATACCTAAACCAGTATACATGATTGGAAAACCATTAAAATTTGTAACACAACAGAAATTCAGTGCACATAAACCACTTTCAAAATGGCCCAAACCAGTTTAAGATAACCCTAGATGGATGTAGTATCAGACTTAGCTGATTTAAATTAAATCAGTTTATTGAACTTCTGTCCCAGATCCCCTCCAGATTCAAGTTAACTCACAGTCCCCCAGCATCCCGGGATGCTTTGCACCTCCCCTGCAAACCTCCCTCACAGGATGGGCAGGTTAGCCTTGGCCCAAGCTGTCTGCTTCAGCTGAGCAGGGCTGTGTGTTCTAGCACCCCTTGGCTTCTGACCTGGGCTACTGCAGGCATCTGGCTGCATTTCTGGAATCAAAAGTGAATATGTATTCACTTCCTTATCAATTCAATCTATGTAGCCTAGAATAACCTGTGAAGATTAAAGCAATTCAGCCTCAGGCTTTTTGATTGTCTGTATTTAGCTAAAGTGTTTAAATAATTTTATTGGATTGGGACTTATGCCTGCTCTTGACATATACAGAATTAATGCCTTCAGCCAACAACGGAGGCAACACTGGCTCAAAGAGCTGTAATTGTATTTACAACATTTTAATGTTAGAAACATTTTAAACCTGTTTATATTCAATTAAAATGAAAGTTCTTCTGTTCACTGTTGGGAGGTATAAGGCTCATATTTTAAAAATTGTTCCATCCTTATTCCTTCCATCCCCAAATTGAAACAACATAATCGGTTGGTATTTGTATCAAAAGCAATTTATAAAAAACAAATATAGTATCAGAGCCCATGCAAGGGAGATAATTGTGATGGTATCATTTTATCATAACATTTCTGGGACAAACTGTCTCCTGGCCCTCTATGGCTAGCTGAGATAAAAACAAACAAACAGCACTACAGGAATGAAAGGAGAGATTTCTGCTCTTTATCATTCCTCTTCCTTATATTTAACTTAGGGCTAAATTAAGTGTTGTGGAATATCATCGGTTTCCAGATGATCAAAGTTTCTTTTCCAAGTAAAATAAAACTTACAGCCAGTTCAGTCTGGGCATGTATTGGCACAGGGATTTATCAGGTAAGCGAGAAAGAGAATTATGCATCAGCACTCTGGAAAAAGAAAAAAACCCAGTATTTCATGATGTTTTTGCAGTAATTGATATTAAAGAACAATGTCTCTTTTGCAGTTTTCCCCCCTTCCTAATACAACATGGCAAAGATTTGTTTCTCATGATATTAGATGTAATAACATGTTTTTTGGTGGGATCTTAACTTCTCTTGAATTTTTCAATGAATAACTTGGCAAAGGGAACTTCTTTTGCAGCTGTCTACTGGTATAGTCTGACTGCTTTGCATCATTGGAGCAGAATTCCGCAGCTGAAGTGTGTATGTGAAGTTGGTTCTACGTGCCTTTTTAAAATAAACCTGGAGTCTGACTGTTCCCTGAGTGAATCAAAAGCAAGCATGCATCAACTCTAATGGAAAAAGATTGGGTTCTTGATTATATTTAACAGCAGGAGTTGAAAGCTGATGTGCTGAAAATATCACAATTAAAACATTCTGGTTTGTTGGACAACTGTTTTTTTTTCAAATTCCTCTAACCTCCAAATCAAACTGAAGTTTTCCTTACTCTTCTGGGGTATTGTAAGTAAAGCTGTTTGAAGCTTGGAATTTTAGTTTCATGGGAAATTTCCAACATTTCAGAATTTGTTTTCACTCCAAATCAGAACTAAAACTGCTTTCTGTGAAATTTCCCATGAAACAGAAATTCAAAATGCTCTGCTTTGAAAGCTTTACTTCAATAACATTTAAAAAAATTAGAAATATATAATTTTGTTTAGATTTATTATGTATATTTTCATTACATTTATTTTATTTCATATCAATAGCAATAAAGCATAATATATATACCCAATATGACAAGGTATAACACAGTAATCAAACCGGTAGGTTCATTTACTTTATTTCTTTGAAAACATTACAGCATCTGCTACTTAATACAGATTGAAATATTTTGAATCCCAGGCCAAAGTATCTGCTCTGCTGTTTGTGTTCTAAACACCAGTTTGATACTTTCAGCAAGAAAAGTAGGACTCACAGTAGACTATTTCAACTGTGCATTAGAGCCATAGCATGGCTTTTGCTGTAATGTACTAATGCAAAGTAGGATTAGTCTACTCTGCATTTAGTGTCTTGTGTAGATGTGTCCACTATTTGCTAGAGGAGCAGCTGTATTCAGTATCTTGTGTTATCCTAGACTCATTTTTTCATTTATCATTGTGATTTAGAGGATGGTATTGAGCACACACTAGAAAACTTGCAGAGGATGCTCAACTGGACAGAGTTGCAAGCACTACTGAAGACAGGATTAGGACTCAGAATGACCTTGATAAACTGGAGAAAGGTTCAAAATGAAATACAGTAAGGCCAAGTGCAAAGTTCTGCATTGAAGAGGCATATATATGGGTTGGGGAATAAGTGGCTAGGCTGTCAGTATTGCAGAAAAGAACCTGAGAGTAATAGTGGACCATGAGCTGAATGAGTCAACAGTGCTCTTGTTGCAAAATGTCAATAGCATACTGGATTATATTAACAGAGGTGTTGGCTGCAAGTCAAAGGAAGTGATTATTCCACCTATTCAGTACTGGTGTGGCCTCACATGCAGTACTGTGTACAGTTTGGAGTGCTGCACTTAAATATATGGACAAATTGTAAAGAATCCAGCAAGGAGCAACGAAGATGATGAAAGGTCTAGGATACATTATTTAGGGGAAAAGGTTGGATGAACTAGGATTATTTAGCCTGGAGAAGAGAAGATGATGAAGATTCGATACCTTAAGGCTAGTTATAAAGAGGATGGAGATAACATTAATTCTGTTTCCTCTGTGGCTGGAAGGAACAGAACATGAAATAATGGTCTTAAATTTCAACATGGGAAATTTAGGTTGGATATCAGGAGAAATTTATAATGTGGTGAGTAATTAAGCATTGGAACAGACTACCTAGAAAGACTATGGACTCTCTATCTTTGGTAGTTTTTAGAACAGTTTCTACAAATGCTTGCCTGGAATGGTTTACACAGGGATGATCCTGCCTTGAGCAGGGGGGTTGGACAGGATGACTACCTAAGGTCCCTCCCAGTCCTATTCTTCTCTGATTTGTAGGATTTCTAAGACATTGATCTTACATCTCTAATTTTAAACTTCAGCATTTCCTTGAATTTACCTTTTGCCACTACTGCTTGTTACCATATAGAATGTACAATAGTATCATAGCTTACAGCAAAAACCTATAATATACACATGGTGAAAGCTCTGAATAAGAATATATGAACAACAGTATTTTGCATTTTTATTCAAGGATCTTAAATATGAACCAAAGTATTTCAATAGCATTGCTATTTACATAGCTATATAAAATCATAGAAAATTAGGGTTGGAAGAGACCTCAGGAGGTCATCTAGTCCAACCCCCTGCTCAAAGCAAGATCATTCCCAACTATATCATTCCAACTAGGGCTTTGTCTAGCTAGGTGTTAAAAACCTTGAAGAATAGACATTCCACCACCGCTCTAGGTAACCTGCTCCAGTGCTTAACCACCTTCCTAGTGAGCGAGATTTTCCTAATATCCAATCTAAACCTCCCTTGCTGCAACTTGAGACCATTGCTCCTTGTTCTGTCACCTGTCACCACTGAGAACAGTCTAGCTCCATCCTCTCTGGAACCACCCTTCAGGTAGTTAAAGACTGCTATCAAATCCCCTCTTAGTCTTCTCTTCTGCAAACTAAATAAACCCAGTTCCATCAGGCTTCCTCATAAGTCATGTGCCCCAGCCACTGAAACATTTTTGTTGTCCCCCGCTGGACTCTCTTGAACTTGTCCACATACTTTCTATGGGGGGGGGGGGCGGCAAAAGTGGACACAATACTCCCGATATGGCCTCACCAGTGCAGACTACATCAGAATAATCACTTTCCTTGGTCTGTTAGCAATACTCCTACTAATACAGTGCAGTATGCTGTTAGCCTTCTTGACAACAAGGGAACACTGCTGACTCATATCTATCTCATTTGTTTACTGTAACCCCCAGGTCCTTTTCTGCAGAGCTGCTGCCCAGCCAGTCAGCCCCCAGCCCATACTGGTACATAGTGCAGGACTTTGTACTTGTCCTTATTGAACCTCATGAGATTTCTTTTGGCCCAATCCTTCAATTTGTCTAGGTCACTTTGAATTCTAGCCCTACCCTCCAGCGTATCTACTACGTTTCTCAGATGGTGTCATCCTCAAACTTCCTAAGGGTGCATTTCATCCCGTCTTCCAGATCAATGGCGATGTGTAGAGGGTGCATGGGGGTGCATGTGAACCCCCTGAGAGCACTGGTGCACCCCCTGACAGCCAGCATTCCCTAGTTAGGCAACAGGCAGGCGGGGCAGGAGAGAGCACTGGTGCCCTCCCCTGACAGTGCCGGCCAGGGAGTGGAGGTGCCAGGGAACCAATCCCCAAAGTCCCCCTGTGGCTGATCATGCTGACTGGGGGGGGGGCGGAGTTCCCCTGTGGCTGATCATGCTGACCTGGAAGTGTCAGTGCAACTGGCTGCAGGGGGACCACCCCCCCATGGTTGCTGACTGGCTGCTGGGGGGCAAGTGCCCTCCCAACTCAGGAGGCACCAGTCGCCCATGTTTTAGATCATTAACATTGAATAAGACCAGTTCCAGAACTGAACCCTGGGGCACTCCGTGTTAGACCATGAAACAACCTCATAAAAGTTAAAGCTATTATAAAAGCACTGTTCCTAACAAAACAGATACAGAGAAATATCACTCTTTTCCAGCCCTTTACAGACATACTAGACCAGCTGTTCTCAACCTTTTTAGACTCAAGGCACTCCTTGTTTAACTCAAGGCACCCTACCACAACTTTTGTTAATTGAGTAGAACCTCATTTCAAAAACAATATATATTTATTATAGGCCGTATCTCTTTGTAGAGGGCAGTAGAGGCCAGGCAGTGATCAGGAAGGGGCAGGCCTGAACCTGCATTTAACTCCTCTCATCTGCTTATTTACTCATACCTTGAGACACCCTTCAAAAGATTTCATGGCACCCCAGGGTGCACTGGCACACTCGTTGAGAATTGCTGTGCTAGACACTTTGGGTTTTGGTTCCCAAATTATCCGGCTGGTAATCTGGGATATCAGACATGTTTGCTTTTATAAGCAGATAATTATGTGCATTCTGACTGGTCCTCCTGTGTTTTTTTTTAATAAAACAAAGACATAACTTCAAGTCTGCTCCTGTTGATTTTAATGAGTCCAGATTAGCCCATGCTCTTTAGCACTTAAAAAACTGGAGACGCCAGTTTCGAAAAGGGTGCCTCTGTTTCCAAAAAAAAGAAGCTCTACTACCTGAGATATATGACAATATTGCTAGAAAACAGACAGGAAAAATCATAAACATACATGCTTGTTTTAATCTATTATTTATTTTGAATATTCCATTTAATACTTACAGGAGAATAAGTGACTTGAGTCCATAGAAACTCAATGGAGAGATTCTACTGATCCTGTTATTTTCAATTATCCTATTATTCAGAACAAAGTATATATCAACTTGATAAATACTAGGGTTTTAAATCAGACAGATGTTTAAAATAACTTACCCCAAACTAATATTTTTCAAATAACCCTTCAAGCTACATGTGAAAATGTAATTACTATATCATAGCATCTCAAGGTAGAATATTCATCAAATGCACTATTTCCAATATAGTTTGAATGATTATGTGAAATATATTGTTACCTAAAGAACATAAAGCAATTTTTCTGTCAGTTTTTTAAATAATTTAATTAGCATTTGGTCTCCAAATATATAATTCTTCCAAAGCAGTAGTATATCAAAATGAGACAATCTTTCAATTGAAAACACAGTAAAAATTAGTCTCGGTGTCATAAAACAGACATCTGTGTTATTAATTCCTTCAAATCTCGGTGTTATTTTTTCCAAATGCCAGACATTAAATGGTATTTAACTTCCCTCTCTCTAGAAAGCAGTAATATTGTCAAGATGTCATATTATGAATGCCATCTCTTCTGTGGGATTTCAAACACTGTAAACAGGAAAAGGACTTCCCAAGACATTCTTATTTCTGTCATTTTGGAGTATCTTATTTATTTCATGACTTATTTTATAGTAAACAATTATTTATAAAAAAACGTCAGAGTCTTTAATTAGAACAATTAAAGCCTGATGACCTGACTCTGTTTTCACCAAAGTCTAAAGGAACTGTTTCCCACCAGGAAGAGGAGTCCCTTAATAATTAGGTGGTATAAAAAGACATGGCCCAAATTAAACAAAACCAAATGATGACAAGAATGAAAATATTTCTTTGTGTTGCCTTAACTATATCTTGAAAAAAACGTATGCAAAAAAGCAGTACATACAGCCACTGAAGTTTATTCAGATCTTCAAAGACACCAGGCTTTAAAAAGGTTATCTTGTTGTGACTCAGATACCTGAAACAAGACCAATAAACACAGCAAATAGCAGAATGCCTGATCAGTGTCAGAGAAGTAAAAATGAGTCTTAAGACTGAGAAAGTCATTGTAATGCAGAAAGATATTTCTCAAAATGAAAATCCATTGTTAACAATGAAAACATTTATATTTTTGTGACTATTCTCTCTTTCAGAAAGCTAGCATGTGCCATGATATCAACTTGGTCTTCTGCATAGGCTGCACTATTGTTACGAACGAGAGTAGAAATACAGTCATTTGAAACTTTCTGGGTAATGATTACTTAGCATTTTCTGTCTTTTTTTAATGGCACCAGGCAAACCATATTCCATGCGTCAGAAGCATTTTGGGCTTTCTCCAGTTCCTACTGAACTGAAAAGGCAAAACTCCCTTGGATGTCAGTAGGAGCAAATTCAATGTTCAGTGTTGCCTAAGGCAATGCTGCACAGCTTTAGATATCAAAAAGAGTTGAAAAAAGATAGACTAAAGAGTGCTGCAAAGTGGCTGGAATAGAAACAGGACTGTATTTATTTGCATACTGCACACACTTGAATACTAACTGGTTCAGGGAGGCATAAGCTTTCATAGGTGATAGAATCTGATACAGTGGGATGTTGCCAATGAAAGCTTATGCCTCTCTGAACCAGACAGACGCTAAAGGTGCCACCCTGCTATGCCTTCTGCCTGACTTCATACTAACACAACCAACTATCTCTCTCTCTATCTTGTTTTAGGAAGGCAGAATGAAGTAGAAAAACATTTTTCTAGAGTCTTTCCTGCCAAGGTACTAGATCAGCTAGCGCTCATACTTCCAGGTACATGGAGCAGGGATAGATTCTTATTGTCAGTGTCACCCCACACTTCCTCTTGCCATGTGACCAACACAGCTTATGCCAATTCAGCAGTGGCTGTGAGAGGGTTAAACCTGTAGCTGCACTAGCCCTGCAGAGGGGATGGGAAGTGGGAGGGGAAGAGCAACGCTGGTGATAGAAGTCTGCCCCTGCCCCTACTCCATGTGGCTGGGATATTCAGGCCTGGCAGAGCCAGTAGTAAGCACAGCCCCCATCACCATTTCAGCACACTCAGTTCCTCCCTCATTCCCCCTCCTACCATTCTGGCACAAAAATTGGTTTCCTTGAATGACACACACACCAATTTTGGATGGCTAATTTGGGAGGGGGGGCAGGAGAAGGTGCATTATATAAGTAAATACAGAAATAATGTTTTTTTATCCAAATGTGCAGTGAAAAAATATCAAAGACTAAGGATAACAATACATTAGGATTTTCCCTTTTAAACCATTTCAATGAACAGGTTCAGTTTTTTTAATAAAAATAAAAGTATTTTTAAATTGCCCACTGCATTTGTTAGGGCAAAGAAAAAGGAAGTATATTTTCCCTACCTATATGGTTAATTATCTCTAATAAAATAAGATGGTAAAGAGCTTCCAATGATCTCAAATTAATATGGCAGCCTAGTACTTTTATTTACTCGTAATTTCTAGTAAGTTGGTCAAGGAAGGCTGGAATTTAAAGTCAGTGGGGTTTAGTCTTTTACTCTTGAAAGTATTAAAAATTTTGAGGATATAGAGGCATTTTCTCTGAGGCATTTTTAGGGTCCATTCTTGCCAAAAGCTTTGAATAGGTCAAAATCTTCTGAAGTCCTTATTCTCTAAATTAAATTTTGTAGTTCCTTATTTAGAACATTTTGGAGTCACCTATATATATACACAATAAATGAGAAATAAGTATAGCTGTTCCCAAAGCTGACTTTATTACACTTTCCTTCAGTACCATGATGGTGATACTTACAGCTTTGTCAAGTTGTACAGACCCCTGAAAGCATGTTCTGATACATTTCTTATTCTATTATTCTGAAGATACCTATGAAGATATAATAATGTCAGCAATTATTTTTCTAAACATACAAAAGCAATCCCCCCCCACCAAAAAAAAGCAAAAAGAAAGAAACCTACCCACTAAATTTAAGGGATATGTATTATTTGAAAACTTGTCATCAAGACTTCTATGTTTTAACTACCTTGACAAACACCCCGTACATTTATATCTGAAAGATTTGAAAGACCTATTTATAATTTTAAACAAATCTTTGAATCAGTGGTAGTTAAAACCATACAAACCAACATCTGATTTGTCTTATACAGAACACATCTGCTTGTGCAATTAATGTGAAGCAATAAACTCTGGTGCATATTGCACTGGAGTTCATTGCTCCTGGGTGTACCACTTGAACGTGTGCCTGGGACTGCAGCACGTTGAACCAGGTTGGAGCAGCCTCAACTGGTGGGGGTCCCAGGGGTCAGCCTGCCAGCCTGTGGCTGCTCCTGCCTGGCTCAATGTGCTGCAGAGGTGCTGGCTCAAGCATGAGGGTGCTCCAGTGTGGGGCTAGCCGGCAGGCAGCTGAAGTACCCTCATGCCCTAGCCAGTTGGGTCAGTGTCTACATGTGCTTTATTTACAAGTACTATCCTGCTGCAGAGTTTATTAGTTTCCTGTGGCCTAACAGGGCTGCACGGGTAGAAGCTGAGATGTTTACTGTGGAGCTAATAGGCAGCTCCTCTGTAAATATCTCATTTAGACATGCCCACAGATAATAAAAGTACATGCATCCTGTCTCCTGTGTTAGACCCCACGTATGACCTTTTTGGATAAGATGTTAGGTTTGAAAACAATATTGTATTTCTTTGTTCTGTATAAGTCCTTTTTTGTCTCTGTTGTAAAAAGAAAATATATCTTCATTAAAAGTAGAGGGCCAACTCTTTACTTACTTCATTAAATAAAGGGCCAAATCTTGCTGGTCAAGTTAATGGTAGATTTGACACTAATAAATATAGGATTGGACTCTATAATATCTTGTAATTTTAACTGGACACTCCCTTCTGAATCCTAAGTGAATGAAGGAAATTAAATTATATAAAGAAATGTTTCATGTATGTATGTTTCTTTTAAATGGAAGGATCCTATTATTTACATTATTGTCTGAGTTGGTAAGGGTACTTCATTTTGTCAACACAAGATGGTGCTGCAGTACATCAGAATACTACATACAAGTTACAATTTCCCTGGGCTGTTCTTAGATCCTAAATTGTGTCTTGAACAGACGAACAAAAACAGAGCACTTTTTTATACCTTGTATTTCAACTGTCCATTATTTTTGTATCATTCAACTTCATTCAGGACTAGGGTTTCTTTAAATAAATGTTACACATAAAATGCAAAAAATAATTCTATCAAAGATTTTTAATGTAAATAAGCCATTTTATGATAGGAGATTGCTGTGTAGTGATCATCACCAGTAGTTCAGAAATATATATATTCAGTTTCCTTTCATTTTTTTTTTATATATTTCTGTCTATTACAATTCTGTTTCTCTCTCTCCCCATACCACACCCCCCCCCATTTAATTATATATTCAGAAATATATATACAGAAATATATTAAATGTTCTCAGCTACATGAATGATTCTATTCACGGCAAGAAATGCTTTTAACTTTGCAAAATTTCATTTTACTGAGGGAAATTGATTCAGTTTCCTTTCATGTTTTTTGATATATTTCTGTCTATTACAAATTTAATTTCCTTAAGACATGATGAATGTTAAGATACACTTCTATATTAGTTTTCTAGTATGGAATAATCCAGATGATGAAAATTTAATATTCAGAAAGTGTTTAAATTGAATATCCAGAAGACTTTCCCTATAAAAATGGAGAGATGCCAAATAAGGCCATATGAACAAAACTACATTACATTTTAACTAAAGGTAAGGCAAAATAAACTCTTTTGTATGAACAGGGATTTTTTAGTCAGCCAAAAATCTATTTATTACAGTTTGTAGTTGATTTCAGGTTCAAGTTTAAAGTACTTCCTTACAGATTTTTAAGGTCTTGATACTTCTTGAAAACATCAGTTGAAAGCTGTCGTAACAGATTATATTGAAGGGACCTGCAACAAAAATAAAACTAGTTGATAAATGTATAAAATGGGCTAAGTTCATCATCAGTGTAAGTCCATTGGTTTCATTTTGTCCTAATAAATTTACATAGTGTTTTACTTGGCAGAAATGTTTATAATTAAATCTTTCCAGGAAGGTGACTTTGTGTGTCTGTATGTTGTAAAGTAAATAGAGAAGTGTTTTTACATTTTATTTTATTATTATATATTCCCTCTTGGTCTGCCTCTGTGTTATATTAAATTAATTTATCATAAACCATAGAGTGACTCAATTTAGAAAAGTATTATGAGGCATGAATTTAGCCCAGTGTGTTTGGAAAAGAAGTGCTGATTAAGAAAGGTTATTTTCACTTTTTTACCATTTCAAGGTTTGCATTTTCACTTGATTCTTAAAATCACTGTTAATACAACCTCTTTCACTATGCACAGTTATATCAGATGCACACCTATGTAGGCACATAAATATACATGGAAGCACAAGTTAATTTTACCAACCCAGACTCAGAATATTTTCCATGTAGATTTGGCAGAAATATATTTGTGGTTGGCCAAAAGGCTTCCATATGGGAATGCACAAATTTACCAGTGGAGATCTCAGATCAATAGTGTAGGATATTAATTTTCCTTTTCATAGGGTAAAAGGACTACTCATCTTTAATGGTGAGTGGTTTCCTTTGAAAGTCTGCCGCTGAATGTTTCTTCATCTGCCAGGAGGGTTACACTTAAGTGACACGTACTACTGGTACATATCCCTCCCTGGAGGTTAAGTGAACTTGCTCTATAACTAGGGTGACCATATGTCCCAGTTTAGCTTGGACAGTCCTGGATTTCAGAGGCTGGTCCCAGCTAGCTACTGAGAATTATAATGGGCATCCCAGAAATGCAAGGGCACTGGATGCAGTCTGGCTGGGAATCAAAGCAGTGCAGAGCACTTTGCAGGTAGGCAGGCAGGCACCACTGCCTGCCTGTCATGCATACAGCCCTGCTCCGCTGACTTGTAAGAGCAGTCGAGGGAGGGGGTAGGAGGAGGGGTGGGGGCGGTCCAGATTTCCCAGATGATGTCCCAGATTTCTGGGATTTCCATATGGTCAGCCTATTTATAGCATTTCCATGCCCCTTGGACCTCGTGAATGGGAGATATAGTATTTATTCAAATCAATGTGGTGGGAAAAAAACCCTCATCTTAGATTTGAGTACTGGCTTGGGGCAGATGGTGCCTTAGTTCCAGTTTTAGCCCTGAGCCCAGGGCCAAAGCTGGAGCTGAATCATTGCCTTCCCTGGGAGTGGGGGTGGGTAGAGGCTTATGCAGTGGGGTAGGAGACTCGCAGCATCGGGAACATGGGGGGAGGACTGGAAGTTGCACTGTGCAGCTTGCCCCACAACCCTTATTTTCAGCTCTGGGTCAGACCCCTCTAGCTCTGACCTGGCTGGGTCCAGAGTTGCCACCATTGTTTCTGCCTGGCCAGGCTGGGGCTGGGCCAAGGCCAGAGCTGCTGGTACTGACTCCCTGGGAGCCGGAGCACAGCTGCTGCGGAAGGTAAGTGGCAGGGAGAATAGGAGGTATGGAGGAGAGGCAGGGGGATAGACCCTGGGGGGAGGGGGACACAGGCAGGTAGGGGCAGGCACAGCATGGCAGGGTAAGGGGCAAATTTTTCATGTATTTTAATTTTTAATTATTGAGGGGTTATCTTCGATTTGGGCTAATATGGTAAATACCAGGGCATGTAGCTGTGGGCCCAACTTTTATGTTGCTTTCTAAATAGAAAAATTAGCATGAACAGTATTTTTTCTAGGAGCAGTTTAAACTAGTCTCAAAGAAGACTTGGTTCCACCATTGCCTGGTCATGGAACACCATTAGTTTTTAAAAGAGTACTAGAGTTGGGACAGCTAGATACACTTGATAATGCTATGACTTGTATTAAAAGGCTGGAGCAGGACAATGGTTCACTCTGATAAATAATAAAAGCTGAGTGGGTGCTTGTGGGAAATGGGCTGAACTTTTCAGGAAAGAATTGCAGCCCATACCTGCTCCAAATCTAGTTAATGGTGAGCCCAGAGCTGCATCACCACAGTGTCTGTCTTGGTGTCCCCTCTTCACTGACAAGTGACACTATAGCCAAACCCAAGACCTCAAAGGCTTGAGGACAAACTAAAACTCAAGAGATTTATTTTCACCTGTAATGCACAAAATATCTGCCTCCCAATGCCCCTGTTTCCATGTGTCCTTGAGAGGTGCCACTGAACAGAAGTTTCATGTTTTGAAATGAGCAAGAAACCTTATAGGAACATTCCCTAGATTGGTATGTTTGCTGCTGTCCTCTGTTGTATGGAAAACCCTGCCTCAGACTAAGTCAAGACCAGTACTCTGGAATGCCTGGATGACCTAGGTCAATTTACACTGCTGTACTGACTTCACACCAGGGGTGTGTCTACATGAGATGCTAACTGTGCAGTAGCCTAATTCTATTGTGCAGTAGCGTGCAGGGCAAAACCCATGCTAATACTCTACTGCACAGTTGTATTATGCTACTGCGTAGTTAGCATCACTAAAAAGCTGGGTGTTGGTGCTACTGTGCAGTAGTGTCAGTTACTGCACATTGATTCAGTACTTGGTTATCCAAGTACTAAAATTAATGTGCAGTAACTACGGTGCATTAATGAATGTGTAGATGCACCCAGGAGGCAGTGAGTAAGTCCTTCTAGCCTTTATTCATACAGGTAAATCCATTAATTTCAATTTGTTTGTTGGTGTCTGCAAGACTATTGGACTAAGTCTTACAGGATAAAGATAAGGTCCTGGTTTTGTACATCTAACAGAATAATCTCTTGTGCAGTTCTTGAAACTGGTGAAATTGTACTCATCCAAGATAATCATAAATTATAGTTGACATAACTGAATAGTGTTGTAAGGCCAGATCCAGACTGATTACTTAGGTACCTCCATGTAGGTGTTACAATGCCTAAAAATGCCTGGGATACCCAGAGGCAAGAGGGAAATTTAGCATGTCTATATCACAGATGCAACATGCAAATGGGATCTGGTCCTTACCTTATGTTTTATGCAGGAAAATTTACACTTTAATTTCACTCTGAAAGACTTCAATACAGAAAGATACTGTACTTCCATAAACATTAGTTAAGCCAAGCATCTATAATTGTAAGGCTATAATTATGAGAGGGTCTGCAGAGTTGATATTCAAGTCTGCATAGATCAAGAAGCTGCTTGTTCTGCTCTACTTACATCATAGTCACATTTGAAGAGACTGAAGGGACAACGCGTAAATTGGCACCATTACAGTCAAGCTCTAGCCCTTGGCATGAACATTGTACTGGCACAGATTTGACCACTGAAAGAAGAGGAGAATGTGGTGATGGCAAAAGGTGGGATGATGTGATAGAGAAAGAAGAGAAAGGTTAGAGAATGATAATATTTAGCACAATGACATTTCATAGCATGCTAAACAGAAGTGGCTAATGTTTTAACTCAAAGTACTCAAGTACACACTTGATTTAGACCTAGTAGGACTTTGGTTAATGTACATTTGTCTAGATAATTACAGGATCTGTATGGGCTTTTGAGCTGGATATCATGGCCTGATGTGACAGTGCTTTATCTGACTGGTTTCTTATTTCTATTTGTGAACAGAGCAGTGTACTCCCACCCGCCTCTATCCAGGTGCTGTCACACAAGTTTTTGCTTCTTTTCTGGTGCCTATTTGTCAATATAAACAAACCTAGCAAAATACATTCATGAATATTTAATTTATTTAAAAGAGTGTCTTGAGATGAGGGAAATAGGATGAAAGATTCAAAGATTGAGGTTCATGATTAACTTCACAGCAACATGGAGGAAAAAAGTCTGTTCTTCGACTTGACCTCATTTATTTTACTTTCATAACCCACGTACTGTACCAAAGATAATGACACAGTTTAAAAAAGTAGTTCTTGGTTGCTATTTACATCATATTCAGGTGGAAGAGATGGAAGAGAGAAATTGTCCTGGAAATGTAGAGCAAAGTATAAATTTTGGGGTAAAAATGAAATTGTAGGGCACCCAGGACCAAAACATTACACTGGTAGGTATTGTTCCAAGTGCAAAAAGTATTGTATGACTGTGTGCCTACATTCACTTTATTCATTAATATTAAAAAACAACTTGTATACATAAATGGAATTGTGTAACATTTTATTGCAGATATGTGTGCACATTTTTCATGTACCCAATTTGAGAGCAAAAATATTAGCTCTCAAAAATTCTACTGTTAGTTTAACCAAAATACTATACAACACTACAAGATGGATTAACATACAATGGTGTTTTAGCAATGTAGCTATTTATATAGCATACAATATAAAATATTGGAAAAAGCAAAACAAAGCAATGCATGCTATGGAGGTTTAGCACATTTGTGCAACAGATGGAAAGCCAAATTCAGACCAAATATATTTATTTGGCTTTCCCTGACCCCAAAATTGATCACAAAATGTATTTGCCTTGAAGCTGTAAAGCTGCGAACCTCCCAAGTGAGATTTGATATTCTGGACAATTTCACTGCTCCTATTATCTGTGAAACTGACAAGAATATCAATTGTACTGGGCAGCTGTATAGTGCAGGGAGTTCTTGGTTTACTGTACATTCAGAAAAAAACTGGTTTTAATCTCAATTAAAATCCAAATTAAAAAATCCTGAACATTTCTGCAAAATGGAAACCTGATTTTCACCCAGTTCTAAGCGTTATACAAGTTACCTGCAGTAGGGTAAAAAGCAAAAAAACAAAATGATAAGCAATGGATTGATTTAGCTCAGGACATGTAGTGACCATTAAAGTTACTAAGAATTTAGAACAAGATTTTTAAAGGCACTGCTCTAATCAGCATTCAGGTGACTTAGAACTTATGTTCTGTTTTCAAGAATGCCCTAACAATTTCCTTGAGAAGTGACTTGGGCATCTAAGTGCCACAGTTACTTTTTAAAAATGAGACAAATGATGAGAGGAACAATGTCTACTCACCTTTAAATAGCTGGATCTTAATATTTAATGGGTTATGTTACTATAGTAGCAGGACCTATAGAAACTGGCTCATAAGAAAGCAATAGGCCTTACAGAGAACTCCAGTAAACTATGAATATGAGCTTCAAAATCTAGGTCAGAATTGTTGGTGTTAAATATAGTATAGCAAACTGCTAATCACAGCTCAATTGGAAATTTATATATGTCTCATGTCATAGCTAAATACCTTACTCATTTTGAACGAAGCCTATAAAATTTGGGTTTCTTCTTCTCCCATGCACACTTTTAACTTGTTTGATGAAAGGTTATTGTGGGAAAACTAGGTCAAAGAATTTTTTCCCCATTTTTTTTCTTGAAAGATGCACAGCTTATGGCCATTCCAGTTTGTGAATCATATATATTTATCTCATAAATGGTTTAGCTTTGATGTTTCCCATTGAGAAAATATTCATTTTTTCCACTGATTTACTTCTCCTAAGCTAGCTGTCACTATAAATGGAATTGAAATTTGTATAAATGCATTAAAACTATATGCAATTGTCATTCTGTTTCAATATAAATTAAATAACATGACATGAATTGGGATTTATTGTAAACAAATTGCAATGCATTGCTTTCTGGGAACTCACAGTAGCAATATCTTACTACTTACAGCATGCAGATGTCCTTGTTTCAAATGAGTATGGGGAATTCTTTTCATTGTACTTGGCATAATATTTATCAAGTTGTTGAGACCATCCATTATTATCACCTAATAAAAAAAAAATCAGATAGATAACATTAAAAAAACCTTCAAAACCTTAAACAAAGAACATCACTAGATTCAGTTGCATAGTCCTTTGCTTAGATTCCTCACGTTTCCTTCAGTAACATCAGCTTTCAGGAATTAACATCTATAAAGGTGGTCAGGGAAGATTCTAAGATTTGAAGTTGACTTGCCACATGCATGTACAAGTTCCTTGTTCCTCACAGAATTCCAGAATTTTGCTGTGAGAGTTGACAAAAAAGATCTAAATACATAGAATTAATCTTACAATACTAAAAATGAAAGGTAAGAGGGCATGTCTACACGTTCATTAATGTGCTGTAGTTGCTGCTCATTAAGTTCAGTACCTGTATTACAGGTACTAACTAAATGCACAACAACCAGTGCTACTGCGTAGTAGCACTATCACATGCCTTTTAAGTTATGCTAATGCACAGTAGACTAATTCTACTGAGCGTAAGCACAACAGCATGGCTTTTGCCGTGATGCACTAATGTCCAATAGAATTAGTCTACTGTGCATTTAGCATCTTGTGTAGATGTGTCCAGTGAGACTTATAAACTTCATCCTGGGAGTACAAGTTTGTCCCTCAACCATATTTTCTTAAGTGCTTTGGATAGATTAATCTCAATTACTCGATGGGAGTTTCACCATTTGGATGACTGTTCCCAAATATAACAGACTGCATGGTGAGAAAATGTTTTTGACATCTAGCTTTTGCTAAGCTAGGTTAAAGCTAGGTTAAAGATAAATGAGCAGTAAGTTGGGGAGAAAATAATGATACACCATATTTACATCAACAAATAAAACCTAAATTAACCACACAGTTCATTAAATAAAGTAATAATACTAATCTTTGTAATTAGTAAATTTGCACAGATGCAGTGAAGTATAGCAGGTCAAGGCAATAAAAAAACAACTCTTATAATTTCTTTCAGCATATACTGACTTCCAAAAATGGTGAAACCAGGCATTTGGTACAGCACTGTTTCTTTGTGTAACCCTGTTACTTTTGTATCAGTGTGACAACTTGTGGGCACATCTACATGTCCATAATTGCTGTGCAGTAACCAAAATTACTACATAGTATTTGTGCACATCTACACATGCATGCCCATACTGCACAGTAAATATGGTGACTTATGCCAACTTGAGTGTAAATTTGATACCTGTATCACACAGGTATCAAATTTATACCCGATTAGTTACTGTGCAGTCATGCACATGTAGAAACCTTACTGAGCAGAAACTGTGTGTAGGCTTTTTTGGGACTAAAGTCAGTCCCAAGTCAATCCACACAGCGTTAATGCACTTTAACTCCTGCATGTGTAGAGACTGGCCTATTCCCACTTACTGTGCAGTAATTTACCGCACAGTAAATTTAAACTGGTATAAATACACATTTAGACACACCCTATGGTGCTTATTTGCATATTGCCATTGGTATGTAAAGTTGGATTATGGGGATTGTGTCTCTTATCTTCATACCCCACATCGATATGCATGGATGACGGAGTGAAAAACTATTTTGTGTTTGTTTTCACTGTGATAATGTATTTTAACTGCTTTTACCATTTTGAATATAACAGGCTGGGGAAGTCAGATTTGTGTGCACTGGTCCTGCCTTCTAAGATTGTAAAGTTCTTAAGGGGACTGATACTGTAAGAGAAAGTTGAGTAAATGCAGCTGAGGAGTCAGTGCTCACCCTAACTTTTGTGAAAGTCTAAGGTAAAGGGATCCCCGGGTTAGGAATAACAACGGTAGGGAGAGGCTTTCTTAGGGGAATGGTATTGCATCTCTCAAGTATACATGAACTTCCCAGTCAAGAACTGTGTCACAATGGGAGTGAGTGAGCTGCAAGGGTACTACAAGAAGAGGAAGGGGGAAGAGGAAGGGGGAAGAGGGCGGGAAGGACTGCTCACATATTGACTGTAGGTGGCCAGTGTC